CTTGTAGGGCCGAGTCTACAATGCCACGGTGAGAACAGTCCAGCTCCACAGTTGCAAGACCTGACCTGTTCGTGCAAAGGACATTCAGAGGATGTCTCTCAGTGATCACCGTTGCCCTCGGAGTATTGCTAGTATACGGTGGTAACATCACATTAGTAATGAGGATATTCGTCGAGGAATTTTCAGATCAAAGTCACCAAATTGCACTGCTTCGGTGACTTCGGCACGTGACTCGCATGCCTACTGAGCATTTACCTCACCGTGCACTCAGCGCGCACAGAAGTAGGCTGGAAGTGAAGAAAAGGTGATCGGGTAATGACGGGCCAAAAGCTGACCTCATATTTGGCCGCAGTGGGGCGATTTCGATTCCCTGGTTGGGTGCGCAAGGATCACGAGCACACACGGCTGGAAACCCTATCGCACATTTCAAAAAACCGTGAGCAATGGCGAACCTTTTGTAAAACGCTACCTCCCTTATTTCAGTTTTACACTTCTTACCCTCTCTATTCTCTCACTGTTGCTGTATTATATTTGACCATATATTGTGGTACTGTCAATTGTACCGTTGGCCGGAGAGCCTATAGTGCGCTGAGGCTGGTGGTTGCTAGATCCTGACAGATGGTATACACACTGCTGCTACTGTTGTGTCATGGGCTCATGTCCTGGAAGCCTCCTCGTGGCGACCGCTGGGTGGCAGTTGGGTTACGTCCTTCTCCCTGCTAAGATCCAGGACACCAATCCGTATGAGTCAGTGAACTGAACATGTGCCCGACCCCATGCCTTTCGGGTGTGCATTTAATCGAAGGCTTTGGCTGAGGACTCGAGTCGTTCACCTGTCAGGTGTGAGCGCCCTGCCAGTATCCTAGTCCATCCTCTTCGGAGGTTAGGAAGTGGTTGATGACCCTCTTCCCGTAAAACCTAGCCATGGGAGGCAACAGGTCTACGGGTTATAAGCTCACCGCTCGATTGGCGTACAGCACGGGCGCCACGCATGGTCTATGACGTCAGAAGGGCACCTCGAAAGGTCAATGGTTTGCTACAGCCCGCGATCAAATTGGTGCAAACCCGCCAAAACTCTCCTGCGTCTGGCCGTGACCGCAGGTACATATCCTACTACGGTCGCAAAACATATATGAATCGTTCCAGTACCTCAAAGGCTGTGGGTGACGGCCGTCAAGCAGATCCCAATCTGTCTCTGCAATCACATTCCCAAGCTGGATCTGCTCCCCACTGCCTTGTGGGTCAGGCTATTGTGTCAAAGGATCCGGGCGGAGTCCCTCAAGCAAACCTCTGAAGCACAACCGCTATCTAGCGTGTGATTGCCCACCAAGGAAATCGTATGGTTGCGCGCAAAGCACTCAGCATCGGAGGCTGGAATATGCGCACACTACTGGACCGGAACTCGAGTGATCGCTCTGAGCGACGCACTGCACTAGTCGCGATGGAATCGGCACGGTATAACATCGATAGTGCGGCGCTCTACCAATAAAGCACTTCTGCGCATGTGGTTCCAGGCTTCATCCGAAGGGCTCAGCTCCAACCGAAGTAAACCCAAGAAACGGAGTCTCACATCGACTGAAGTTTGTGATCTTGGAGAAGAAGTTCACGCCGATTCTCGGCATTGATTCGATTCAGTCTCGGTTTTGTTGTTTTAATCATGATCGTTTCGTGTATGTTTGCCAGAGAGAAACCGATATTAGTAACCAGTATGCGTCTGTGTTTAGCCCAGGTTTGGGAAAATTTGATGGAACCGCTCACTTGTCGTTAGATCCTTTGATAGGACCGAATGCGCTACTGGCTAGGAGAGTTCTATTTGCACTGCGTGACAGGTTTCGCGCTGAGTTGAGCGAATCGGTGAGAGAGAATGTCAGTGCTAAAGTCGACGAGCCAACCGAATGGGTTTGTCAGGTCGCAATCATTACGAAGATGGGCGAACTGCGCGTGTGTATTGACTCGAAACCGTTGAACGAAGCCCTGCGTAGAGAGCATTATGCGCTACCTACTCTAGAAGACATCATGCCACGCCTGGCCAAAGCTAAGTATTTCACGAAGGTAGACCGGTCTTCCGAATTCTGGCAAGTGGTTCTAGATGATGAATCCAATTTCCTTACTGGCTTTGCCACACCGTTCGGTCCTTATCATTGGCTGCGTTTAGAGTTTGGTTCGAAGGTTTCGGGTGAAATTGTCCGAAACGGATCGGTGCAAGCGGTAGACGATTTAGACAGTGTAACATGCGTGGTAGACGATATTTGAGCTGTGGATCGACGGAAGAGCAGCGTTGTGTGTAAAAGAACAGCAGGCTTAAAGGTGAGAAGACTGAACTTGAAAAGATGAGGTGATTTTCCATGAGCATGTGCTAACAACTTAAGGTATCAAGGTCAATCCAGAAAAAACTAAGGCAATTCGAGAGATGCTGCCTTCTAACGATGTGAAACGAATCAATCGTCTAAACGTTATAGTGAAGTATTTGAGCTATTTTGTGCCAAGACTCGCCGATATCGTGACGCCGATCATGAAGCTAAATCACAATAGAGGAAAATGGAGTTAGGGAAAGGGACAGGAAACTGCATTCGAAATTATTAGGCACCTTAGTGGAGGGTTTCGGTGTGGCTCTCTCCTATCCCTGCAGTGCAGGGATAGGAGAGAGCCACACCGAAACCCTCCACTTCGGTGACGGTCACAGTGACCGTTTTGGCAGAGGCTGACTTCCAAGTCAACCGCCGCCCCTAATGAGATTGCGTGTCACAATCCAAGACACACGGCGGGTGCTCCGAAAAACCCTAAAATATTAGGCACCTTATTAGCAACATGCTTGTATTCGGATATTACGATCCAGTGCAACCTCTGGAGGTACACAATGACAGTAGTCGGGACGGAGTAGGTGCTGTTCTCTTACAGAATGGAAATCCTTTGGATTTCCGCAGCCGAGCAATCGCATTGACGGAGCAGCGCTTTGTATAGATTGAGAAGGAGATGCTCGCGGTGGTCTGCGTCATGATTATAGTTTCGAAAGAAAGACAACCGTGTGTACTGATCACAAGTCGCTTGTTTGGATAGCCCCCAGCTCCATCTGCTACCTCTGGCGCTCGTGCTGGGGCCCAGTGGTCTACCTCTACAGATCCTCCCACTTACCAGGAAATCGAGCAGGAGCTCCAGCACATGAAGCGCTATGAAGCTCCCGACCCTGATGGTCTACCTCAAGCTCTATTTAAAGATGGTGGCGCTTTGCTGGTTTGAGAACGCACCGCATTGTTCTCGAAAATTTGGTCGAAAGAGAAAGTTTCATCATCTTGGAGTGAATCGATAGTCGTCCCCATCTTCAAGAAGGGCCTGCGCACAATCTGCTCCAACTACAGAGGCATAAGCTTAGTCCCGATCGTTTGCAACCTGCTGGCGTTCATCATAATTCGCAGGCTATCCCCAACGCGCGAATCGTTGCAACGAGAACAAGCTGGGTTTCGTCCTGGTCACGGCTGCATCGATCAAATCTTCACACTCCGCCAGATCTTCGAGCTCCGCCATGTGTATCAGAGGCCAACGATTGCTGTGTTCCTGGAGATCCTGCAGCCCTCGATTCCGTCCATCGTACGGTACTGTGGCACTGCCTACTGAGGAATGGTGTCCCCGAGAAGTTCGCCTCCATACTGCGCGCTCTATATAGTCTGACCTCGGGCAGCGTTAGGGCTTATGGCAAGCTTTCACCTACCTTTGTGGTCTCCAGTGGAGTTCGACAAGGATGCCCTATCTCTCCGTTCCTATTCAACTTTGCCATTGAGGATGTCCTGAAGAACGCTCTGGGCGATTCGTTGAACGCTGGTGTTTAGCTCCTCCCAGGTAGTCGAGTTGTTGACTTGGATTATGCTGATGATATCGTCTTGCTGGGTGACGATCCACATGTCGTTCAACTTGCACTAAACCGCTTGGCGATTGAAGCATCAAAGTATGATATGTACTTTTCGCCATCCAAATGCAAGGCTCTCTTCCAAGACTGGCAGGTGCCTCTGCGTGCACTCACTCTTGGTGGTGAAACACTAGAGGTTGTGGAGAGCTTTGTCTACTTGGGAAGTCGCATTACTGCTGGCGGCGCTGTTGGACATGAGATTTCGATGCGCATCTCGAGAACACGCCTCGCTTTTTCTAGGCAGAGGCACTTCTGTCGTCGCCACGACATTCGTCTCTCCATCAAAGGGCAGGTCTGTTGTGCAACTGTTTGTGCTGTACTGTTGTACGGATGCGAGACCCGGCCCATTTGTAAAGATGACTTGCGCAGGCTATCCGTCTTCGAGCACCGCTGTCTGCGGTCCATTGCCCGTGTGTGGTGGCAGCACCACGTAAGCAATGTGGAAGTTAAACACCGCGTCTTGGGACGTGGAAGCCACTCGCTCGAGGAGCTTGTCTCACTGCATCAACTGCGGTGGTTGGGACACGTATTGCGCATGCCTGTCCAGCGTTATCCGCGTCGTGCGTTGTTTGCGATTGCTGGACAGGGCTGGAGAAGACGGTCTGGTGGACAGTCTACAACATGGAGAAGCCGCAAGAAAAAGCTGACGAAACAGTTGGCCTCGGCCGGTTGTTGTCGACTACCTGGTTGGGGACCGAGAGATGCGGATACTGGCTGGCTGAAGACCTTGGAAGCCATGGCTCAAGATCGATGTCAATGGCGGACGTGTGCATCGGTGTGTTGCGGAGTCCCTTCCTCCTCCCCTTAAAAAAACAAACTGAAAAAAATTCAAAAACTGTGAGTGGTAAACTAGACAAAAAAGCTTTTGTTGTTGTTGCTCTTTCTTATGATTCATACTGTCTTCCTATTCAGCCATGATTCCGATGGCACAATATCTGTACTACAGATTGTGTATAATATATAATATATATACGCAGGACATGGTCTTGGCAACGTAAGCGGTTGATTTAGAAAACACTCTAGTGAGGAACTAGACGGATAAGTTGAAAAGTTAGAGAGATGATGAACAACAGCAGAACTGCAAAATATGTCAACGCACTTCCACTGTATGCTGTTCTTTGTCCGCTTGTCTATCAAACCAATACCCTCAAGCACGTTGGTGATATCATAGATTCTTCGTTTCTGGCGGACAGCCAAGAAATCAGCAGCCTGTGAATTTCGGTTTGAGGCAGAATAAACCATACCATTTTTAAATCCAGAATTCCATCCGGAGCCTCCTTCAGCAACTGAACAAATTTTTCGGTCAGTAAACCCAAACTTTTTTCGTGTCTGTTTAAGTCACGAAATGATTGTTGATCCAAAGAGAATTCGGTAAACATCATCCCCTGTGAAGGATACATTGTGACTGTAGTATGCGTTTGATCGAGGGTTCAGTGAGATTCTGTGTCCAGAGAGTACGTGGGTCGTAATAGACCGAGATAGCTGAAAGGCGAAACAGATAATCCGTAGGTGGCTGAACAATCTCAACAAAACCATCTAGTATGAGTCGGAACTGGATGGAGAGTGCGTCTGACTTAAACTTCGTGGCGAGCTGGACGGCGTTGTCATGACGACAGCTGTGCACAGCCGCCGATGAAGGTCAGAGCCTGAGGAGACCGGATGACGTAAAAATGCTGCACTAACACCGAAAGTGAAATGGAAAGGCAAAGAAAAGAGATGGCAATGATCTTCTAGGCTAGAGTCGGCGATATATTACCCGACACTGACGCGCTACATAGACAACACTCGGGTCTGCGTAAAATGTATCGTGCAATGGTCCAGAAGCAAGGAATCCAGTCGATAGGCTAAAATTACGAGACAATGGGTTTCAGAGACGCAGCAGAGCAATATGATGTTCAACACAGCATCAAAAGCTTAGAGAGAACGCAGCGCAAGACAGAGAACGTGTATTCGGACAATATTTTTTACCGTTGTAAGAGTGAGATACGAACGTGACAGTAAGTTCAAGTTCAAGTGGGACTGAAACGATAGAAAAATCCCATGAGCGTTCCCTCTTGAGCGGATCGTTGAACCAGGAAATGATAAGGCGCTCCGAAATTTGGATGAATGTGAAACAAACGCACCCTGGTTAACCAATTATTGCCCATACTTCCTGTACTAGTAGTCCCCGCTGTGCCGGTCACACGAAGTAAGGTATCAGCAGCCCAATAAGCATGAGTGACCGAGAGGGGAGCGAAGTGCGTCCGACGGGCGACCGAAAGGAGTCCGAAAAATCACCCGTCGGGACAATTTTTGGTCACTCAGAATTAAATCTGGCGGCCCAACCCCGCTTGCTTTTATACGTTTTCCCAAATCTCCGCTACGTTAACGCACCACCGTCTCCTATTCCCCTGCTAAATGCCGACACGCTGGGCGTAGTATTGTACTCATTTTTGGCAGACTATTGGTTACTCAGGAAAAGTATTGGCAGCATAACCCCATCGCTCTCATACATTTTCCCAAATTCCCCCCTGCATTAACGCGCCTCCGTCCCCTTTTCCCTTGCTATATGCCGACCCGCTTGGCGCCTTATCGTACTCATTTGCGCGGAAAATACACGGTTTTGATATAAATTATATTGCATATTTACGGATAATACAGTAGTTTCTCTCCTTTTCGTACCCCCATCGCGCTTTCACTCGTCGGATCCATTATCGGAGTTCTTGCATGCAGAAAACTGTAGCGCGAGAGCCTGTGAGTGGAATTATTATATATGCACACAGCATACTGACAACCGCGTCATAAAGGACATAACGGGTAGGCAAACCAATTCCCCAACAAGGCTGTTGGCGAGAGGTCATCATGTGATGTTGAAGACACATTCTGCAATAGTTTAACCGCAAACCAAAGCAATGACCGCCATCTAACACATGTATTACAACAAATGATGTGCTACTATTTTTCGCATAAGTAGATTTTTCACCCTCTTTGCAGAGAAGCACTATCGCCTTCCCAGTCAACTTGGAAGGAAAATGATCAGCTTCGCTGATTACCTTCAGCCGCTATTATGAAGTGTGTAATGGAGTGCGTGCATTTCTAAACAATTCCAGGCATACGTCGCACGCTACATATAAGTGTTGGCTTGCATTATTCGGAGGTTTGCAAGCAACATTTCATCACGAAAAGATGTTTCAATGATAGCGGTTTCCACCGGAAGTAAAGCAGAGCCTAAAAACGATAGATTTGTTAGAAAGAGATGACCAGGTTACTTAGTGGTTTAGCAGGGTTGGTGGTTGCATCCGGGACAGCTACGGCTTCGCACATCCATTAGTGATCTGGACCGCACTGCAAGAAATGCAATTTCAGCTGGTTATGTTCAAATGGGACGGGAGCAGTAGGAAAAGTTCAAGTTCAAATGGGGTCGGGACAATGAGAAAACCCCGTGAATGTTCCACCTTCGAAAACGTGGTTGATCCAACGGAATCCGGTGCATTTGTGTCAAAGGAGAGCCAAATCAACACATACGATTCACAAGGTCAAGCAAACAATGCCCACGTGCCCTGCACTAGCAGTCCCCGAATAAAAGAAAACGAAAGGAAACAAAGAAGACAAGCTTATCGAATTTCGTGGGCAATATTAAGATGTAAGTTAAAATGAGTTAAAGAAGCGTAGGCCGTAGTAGACGAGTAAAAGATTAGGGCATGAAGAGGAAAACTTTAAACTGCAGACCGAGAGCGTCAAATCGATGCTCGAACTCTTTCACCGTCGGTGCCATCACGACGTCTGCAGGCAGTGCGTTCCAGTAAGCTATGGCCCTACACGATAACCGGAAAGCTGCCCAAACCCGGTCAGACCAGGGTTTGTTCAACTTTAATGGGTGGCCACGAAGGGTTGGTGCTCGAGTTGGACGAAACAGTCCAGTCAAATCAGGAGCAATCTGACCCATCAGTAAACGATACGTGAGGACCAAGTCGCGCCGAAGCCGTCTGTAATACATGGAAAACATATTCAACTTACGTAGCCTCTCCGGGTACGTCATCTACTTTAATCCGTGCACCATTTTCGTCCCGGACCACAGGACCCGTTCAACTGCCATCTTATCACGAACCAGGCATGGAGGACAAGTCTGAACGCAGTATTCCATGTGCGGCCTTGCAAAAGCCAAAAATAGTCTAACGAACATTTCGGTGATCGTGATCTCGAATGACCGGCGGATCATCCACAACATGTAACCTTTGCGAGCAGCTGTCGTCCAGTGTTCACTGGACTTAAAGTCTGATGACAGGAAAACTCCAAGATCAGATTGGAGTTGAACTCGCGGTACCTCGTTGCCGTCAAGCAAATAACGTGTCGGCAGGTCATTCGGACCAACGCGTAAAACTAAACATTTCGCTAAATTAACTGGCAACTGCCACAAAAAGGACCAGTCCCAAAGTCTATCCAGAGCCCTCGGTAGTGTCAATGGACCAATCGGATCGTCTATTGTGAACCAGAGTTTCAAGTCATCCGCAAACACTAGGGATGGTACACCCAAGCCATCAGGTAGGTCACTAACGTATAAAGTGAAGAGGAGGGGCCAAGGACTGAACCTTGCGGGACGCCACTGAGAACACATTGGCGGAAGGACAGGCTGGAATTAGGAAAGCTGAAATCCATCGTAAGAATGGTCCAGAAATGCCGTAGGACTTCAGCTTGTACAAAAGGCGCGAATGTGGAACGGTGTCAATGAACAGCATGTCCACTGCTTCCCCGCAATCAACGGTTTCGGCCCGATGTTCGCGAGCCATTAATAAGTTAGTAAGGCAAGAAAAGCCCTTACGAAAGCCGTGCTGAGAGGGATTAAGCAACACAAACGCTCTCAAGTGTCCTTCGAGAGCGTTCCTCACGAGCTTTTCCAACAACTTGACCAGCACGCTCGTCAAACTGGCCGGTCTATAGTTATCAGAGAGGTGTTTGTCAGCGTTCTTTAAAATGGGAAAAACAATAGCCTCCTTCCAGTCAGTGTAGAGCAGCTACATAGATACCTCGCAAAAGTTGTGTAATCGGAGGGAAAAGTTCATCAACAACTCTTTCAACTGTTTGGGATGAATAGCATCCACACCTGCAGATTTTTTTGGATTTAATTCCCTCAGAAGCCGGGGCACTTGAGTCTTCGTAATGGAAATCTCCAAGAAGAAGCCCTCAGAAACTTTTGCCTGCAGGCTGATGTGCGGCAGCTGCGACTCTCGAACATAACCCCAGCATACTGTCCTCCGAACAAACAAGCTTTTCGTGATCTGTGACAGCAGTAGAACCGTCAGGGCCAAACATCATTGGGATGCACGAGTTCATGTAGCTTCGCCTTTTGACATATGCGAAGAAGCGATTCGGGTTTGATGAGGCTATACAAGCAAGCTATACTTAATGCTGTGGTCGAAAACCTCGTAGATGCTTCCTGTAGGCATTTCGAGTCTCTCGGTGGCGCTTGAAGGTGCATGATGAAGGAGCAGATAAGTACGCCAACAGCTGGCAAGTCTTAAGTTGTTTGCGTGCAGCAGAATCAAACCAGGGTGGTTTTGCACTAGTTTTATTCTTGCCAGACAGTGGTATATGGGGAGAGAGAATCCCTCAAGTATGATTTAAGTCCGTCCCAGACCGTTTGAATGTCGCCAATTCCCAAAAGGAAGCAAGGCGACTTTGCGGCCTTGACTTTCATTGTCTGAAAGTCCGCGCACCATATGTCTGGAACTCAGTCGGGACGATCATTAGTCTGACGACTAGGAGTGCAATTAAATGAGACATGCGTGGTCGAGAGGTGGGTTGTATACAATATCTGTAACAGACAATGGATTTAGGGATCAAGTCCAAGAGGGACGGGTTTTGACCCATCATGAATCTAGTGGGCCGATGGACAAACTGATGCAGAGGAAAATGCAAGTCCAGCTCGAGAAGCTCGGTAGCCAAACACCTTGTAACAGCGTCGCAGGAGAAATTCTGCCAGTCAACGTCGGGAAATTTAAAGTCCTCCAGCACTGAATACCTAGTTGCCCAATGTTCACGGACGAAAACAACGAGACCCTTGGCAACGCTGTCGGGGCTTCTATAGACCAGCACATTGCGCGGCAATAAACAGGCTAACTGCGAGTACCTCAACAGCACCGTCTGGTGATCGGAAACTGTCTTAAAGACAGTAAGTGCGGAGTTAACGTACAAAGCAACGCCACCTCCATGCAGAGCAGAGATGCGGTCACACCTCGGCAGTGCGTAGCCTGGCAAGCACACTACACCGTCTGTGACGTCGGCGAACAACCCCGTATCAGTGGATGCGAAAACATCTAGACGGCAGTCGTGGACAAGGGCGCCGATTTCGCACAGCTTGTTTCGCAGGCTACGCACATTGCTTAAGATCACTTGAAAGGATTCAGCACTGTGAGTCCGGGATCGTGCGCCACCAGAACCGGCTCTGGCAGGGCGGAAGAGGACCGCCGGCTCACCACCCGAAAACCCACCAAGCGAAGACCCTTT